ACATATTACTTTTTTTTTTTTTAACCGTTCATTTTATACAAATAAAGTTGTTTTTTTCTTTCTAAAGTTTTCGTGGCTTCGTCTTTTTCCTGGTGGTGAGGGCTGGCTGTCAATTAATGATTCCATCACAATTTTAATGCTTTGTCATTATGGAAACTCTCGTCAGTTAAGTTCTGAATAATAAAAAAAAAAGAATAATAATTGAATTCAAAAATTATTTTTTAAAATCTATTTCAGAGATTCGTCTCCTACTTTACACTTTTGTTGAATACGTGTACACTAAAAATATATATATATATATATATATATATATATTTTAAAAGCAATAGTTGAAAGGAAAGAAGTTGCATAACTCTTCTAAGCCAGTGTATCTCAAACGGTGGTCCACAGGACCGGCGTCGCTCCGCGAGCCTTAACGTTGCCTGTGCCGCACGGCATGAATAGTTATCATCGAATAAAAAGAGAATGCCATTAATAAATAGGGCAGCGGTCCCTGGTGCCATTTCAAAAACGTGTCCGCCGGCCCGCCAAACTTATACAAGTTTGGGAAGTACTGTTCCAAGCAGTTTTCGTTGGATGAATAGAGGGTTTCCGATTAACCGAAAGAGACAAATAAGGAATTCGCCACCAATAATTTCTAGCAGGTTAATTTAAAAGCCGTCATCCTTTTTAAAGGAGTAACTTAATAGTGTGCCCATTTATGTCAACGTCCTGTTAAAAGAAACCATGTCATACACGATACACGCTTGGTGTTCTCTGTGTACTGTTTGTAAACTGTTTTGTACATACATGTTTGTAAACGTTTCAAAGATTTAATAAAGTATTTTAAACCATTCTACATCCACAAAAGAAATGTGACTCTGTATTTTGATGTATTTGAGGCTTCTGCTTCTTACTTACATCGCAAGTATTTTATTTATTTTTTTAAAAATTATTTTAAACCTATTATAAAAATAGAACATTTAATAATTACATTCTAAATAAAACATTTTATAACTCAAGAGTTGACATTGTATTTCTGAATCAAGAAGTCATTTGTAACGTAAGATTCTGAGTGTATGTGTGTGTGTGTGGGGGGGGGGAGTTTGACGAAAAAAAAATTATTACTAAAAACAAAACAAATGACTAAACACAAAAATTGAGCTTCATTAAAAAAAAACACACACACAAAAAAAAAAAAAAAAATCAAATTCCGTTAAATTCTTGAGGTTTTATTTTTATTCTCTCAAAACTGTGTAATAATTATACAACATAAACCCAAACCATTTATCCTTTCAAACTTTTGATGTCATGTAATTAGTTGATTGATGAGCAAAAAAAAAATGGTCCACGTTAGTAGGTACAAAATGTGGCTGGGGACAAATATAAATTTCGGGTTGGAAATTGATGTAAATGGTGGTGAAATTTATATGTAAATATTGGGGAAAGGTATGCAAATTGTGGAAATTGATGAACATGGTGGAAAATATAAGTAAATGGTGGGCAATAATCGACATGACCGGATGGTCGTCAATGAACGTCTACGACTAGCGAAAACTAAATGAAAGCCATCAGAGCATAAGGGCTGACCAGATGATTAGAGCATAAGGGCTGGCCAGATGATTAGAGCATAAGGGCTGGCCAGATGATCAAAGCATAGGGTCAGGGTTGGTCAGATGATTGTACAATATAATAAATTAATTCAAGGATATATTCAACCCAAAAATCTCATGAGCATATTCAGCAAAAAAACAACAACAACAAAAAAAAGTTTATATACTAGTACCGTTTTTTTTTTTTTAAATTAAGGTAATAAGAATATTTGGCAAAGAGGTTCTATAATACCATACGCCTACATCTCAAAAGGTCATCACCCGAACCACACCTCATACAACTTGATTGTAACACAAACACACACAG